AATAATGCAATTGCATTAAGCAGTCGTGGAGCTGTTTATTGTGATATAAGCAGATACGAAGAATCACTTGTAGATTTTAATAAAGCATTAGAGATTGAACCAAATAATGCAATTGCATTAAGCAGTCGTGGAGCTGTTTATTGTGATATAAGCAGATACGAAGAATCACTTGTAGATTTAAATAACGCATTAGAGATTGAACCAAATAATGCATGGGCATTAAGTATTCGTGGTTTTACTTATCGAATGATGAATAGATTCGAAGAATCACTTGTAGATTTAAATAAATCATTAGAAATCGAACCAAATGATATATATGCATTAAACTATCGTGGCTCAACACATCATATGTTAAGTAAACATAAAGAATCACTTATAGATTTAAGCAAATCATTAAAAATTTTTCAAAATAAGGCACATGCATCAAAAAATAGCGGAAAAACTTATGAAATTGTCAATTATTATGAATTTTTACTTGATGATTTAAATAAGTTATTAGAAATTGAACCAAATGATGCATTTGCATTAAAAAGCCGTGGTGTAACTCACTGCATTATGGGTAGACACGAAGAATCGCTTGCAGATTTAAGCAAGTTACTAGAAATCGAACCAAATGATGCATTTACATTAAGAAGTCGTGGAGAAACTTATCTCAAGATGAACAGATATAAAGAAGCACTTGCAGATTTAAATAAATCATTAGAAATTGAGCCCAATAATGTAATTGCATTAATAAATCGTGGAGAAACTTATCGCATGATGAATAGGTATGAAGAATCACTTGCAGATTTTAATAAGGCATTAGAGATTGATCCAAATAATGCCAGCGCATTGGAATTTCGTAAAAAAATCAAATTTTTTATGGCTAAAAAATTTTAGGATTTTTGATTTTTAATTACTGTAGTGAATCATTTGAAAAACTTATTAGTAAAGTCATCTAGGTGTAAAATTCTTAAAAGGTGAACTAACTTTATGTATATTGTAATAAAAAATCTTAAAGATACGTAATCATTCATAGGACATGTCCAACCGAATGTTGTTACTTATAAATCAAATGAGTTGACACACCCAATTTTATATTTAAATTTTTGCAAAAAAATTGTTAAAATCAAATTTAGGCTATACAAATTTAATTACTTGGTTTTCATAACATAAAATTTTAAAAATAGACCTGGCCGGCTGGCTTTTTTTAATTTCATATATAAAATTTTATAAAATTTATATAAAAAATTTTTTTAAAACCCACCTGGTTATTAAAACATATAAAAAAATTTTTTTGGAAGTTTTCAAATTTTGACCTGGCCGGGTTATGAAAACCAATTAATTAATTTTGCATGGCCTTATTTAAAAATATATATATAAATCTTTCTTCAAATTTAAATATATATTCTTTAGCATTTAATAATTATTTGCTTAAAGCTTTAGTTCTTAATTTTAAGTAGAAGGAAGAGAATCTTCCACTAAAGTTAATCAATTCTTTACTATGTTCTTTAAGTCAAATAACTGGCTTACCCTATTTAATAATATAATTAGTTAAAATAATCTTTTAAAGATTAAAAAAGGTTCTACTAAGTAAAGGGTTCTTTCAGCTAGTGCTTGGCAAAATCAAACAAAAACTCAATTATTGAGTTTTTGAATCTATTGATTTATAGTATTGTGCTTCAATTATAAAATCTATTTTACTTTAATCTGACTTTAAAATTCATATTAGTTACTATGAAAACTAAAGTAAGATCGGATTCCTGTTAGATTTATATATATATTAAAAAATAAAATTTGTATTTAATTCCCAATATTGTAAATTGATAGATTCAAAAACTCAATAATCAAGTTTTTGTTTGATTTTGCTAAGCACTACTTCCAGCTTTAAATAAAGTTATAAAGGAGATTTTTCTAATTCTAATGGTGGTTAAATCATTAAAATTGGCTTGGTTAGTGATAGAATCTATCTATCTGTTCAGATAAATAGAGTTTATCCATATTTGTTTTGTCTGTCTGTAATAACTCTGGTAGATAGTCAAATAAGTTAAATAAATCATAATTTATAATAAAGTATAATATTAACTTATAACTATAGAACATATTTGCAAGTCTTGATCAAAATAATTAAGTTAAGTCAAACTTATAACCAGCTACTTAATAGCATTGACCACTTTCTATAAGGGAACTTTTGGGCATCTCCCATGGGAGATGCATCTCTCACATCTGTTAGCTAATAGTGATCCACAATTTAATATAACATTAGTAAAATTCAAAACAAATGCTAGTTCAAAAAAAGAGTTGCTTATTTCTCAAAAAACAAATACTATATTGGCACGTAATAAGCACATGTGCATTATTTTGAAACACGCCTTTTTTTGAAAATTGCATTTTTGACTCGAAATAATGCATATATGCATCCCAAAATAATGTGCACCTCTATATAAGTAGATCATATATCAAATTAACATCTTCAAATTTGTCAGAATGATTCGAAATATCGCACATGTGTGTCCTGAAATATCTTGAAATAACATGCAGATATATGTTATTACATGCCAATATGGTAAGGAATATCCTTTCATGCTCTAACAAAAAGTTTTTCTTAAGCAAATTTACTACATATTCTTCTTATATCTAACTCTATTCTGGACGATATCCTATTATAAATAAACTTTAAGGAATTTTGAGAGATGTATCTCCCACGGGAGATGCCTATAATTTTCTTTTCTATAAAAGTGATTTATTTCAAGGTAAAAAATCTTTAATAATATCCCATTTTATATTAGTCAAATTAATTTTCTTAAGATGTGTTGCTTCATATTTTGATTCACAATTAGTTTCTGTTTAAAGTATGCTAATCATTACATTGATTGCTAGTTGTAATTTCATTAATCTTTCCCATGTGAGATATGAGGAATTCTAACAGGTTTTTGTATTAGCAATAACCCATAAATAATAACTTGTTTTGTGCAAAATCTAAAAATAATAAAATTAAAGTTAATAATTAAATATATATGCTGTGCCTCAGACTAACGCTTGCCTCAGATCACAGTTGACGCACCTCCGATTCAGATCGTCAGGTGAGGTGCGTAAACTATTGATCTATCATTAAACTGCAATCTGACGAAAGTAAAAGAGTAAAATAAATTGAATGAAAGACTTTTAACTTGGGCGCTTTTTTTATTCTTAGTGGTAGCATTCTTTATCTTTGAATCATTTTGGCGTTGTCTTGCTTCCAGTAGCATTTTTTACATTATGCCTTAAATGAATTTTCGTGGCACATTCTATTTCCAATTAATATGTACTTTTTTTTCTATACGTACAGTTTTTTTTGCCTAAATTTTCACTGCATACTCTTCCTGTTTAAGTCTTCTCAGCACGTTCAACTTCAATAATACTTTTTATTCTATACATATATTTTTTTTCTGTGATCGATAGGTTACGCGCCTCATCTAACAATCTACACCTGAGTGCGTCAGTTGTGATCCGAGGCAAGCGTTAGTCTGAGGCACAACAGTACTTGTGAATTAAACAACTAAATTCAGCTTACGTATATAATATCGACATAACTCAAATCAAAAAACATTAGATGGCTTCTTTTTTAATTATATCATCAATATTGACGTTAATTAGTGTATGTCAAATAAGGATTGTGTTACGGACGCAAATAAATATTCAGATAAATTTAGTCACCTAGTACAGTACGTACGTACGTAGGTACGTCTGTATTTACAAGATGGACCCATATGAAGACTTAATTAAAAAAAGTCTTAATGAACAACATATTGAATTTTACGAATACTCTTGCTTCAAAGATGTTAAGCTAATTGGAGAAGGAGGATATGGAAAAGTGTACAGTGCCATTCTCAAAAGTAACGAAATCACAGTTGCAATAAAATCATTTAAAAATAATGTAGCCATTAGAGAAGTTGTTAAAGAGGTAATCTGCTTACTTATTTAATTGTTACAGTAGATAACCATACAACTACAATGTTATTTATTTCTATAAAATACAATATGCATAGCTTAAATTACATCGTAGAGTGGATATGCATTCTAATATCATACGTTTACATGGTGCTACTAAAAATGAAGGTAAAGTCAGTTTCTAAACTAATAAATTTTTTTATTTGTAAAAAACTTGACAACATAAAACACATAAAACACATTAAATGAAATATATATGATATTATTGTATATGTGATAGATAAAACAAATCCGAATTCTATACATTACATGCTTGTTCTTGAATATGCTGATAGCGGAACTTTAAGATCGTATTTACAAAATAATTTTATACATCTTTCTTGGAATGATAAAATTAATTTTGCATTACAAATTGTCAGTGCAGTTAAAAGTTTGCATACTGAAGATATAGTACATCGTGATCTGGTAATTTTCAAACACAATACTTGTGACCTTTACTATTTTCATTCATTTTAAATATTTATTATTTTTAATAGCATTCAAACAATATACTAGTTCATCAAAAGTGCATTAAGCTTACAGACTTTGGACTTTCAAAGAGATTAGATGAGGCGACAACATCAAGTCGAAAATTTGGCGGGATTATTGCATATATGGATCCACAGAGTTTTGGAAGATCAAGAAATGAAAATAGAATATTTAGATTTGATAAAAAATCAGATGTATATAGCGTTGGTGTTCTTATGTGGGAAATATCTAGTGGTTACCCACCTTTTAAAGATGATGTTGAACAACATCAGCTTGCATCATTAATTCTAGATAATAAAGATGGTGTTCGAGAAAGTCCTATTGAAGGATCACCATCCGCATATGTTAAGATCTATACAGGTATTAAGTTATTTCTTATGTTTCTTTTTTTTTATCATGAAAAAAATTCGAGAGTAATTTTTAATTCATAAATAGATTGTTGGCAATATGATCCTAATAGCCGCCCAGATATTCAGCAAGTTTTTTTAAGTCTAAAATGTCTAAATATCAATGATGAACAAATCATAAATAGAAGTGTGCATGATATTAATACGTTAGAAGACCATGAATCAACTCAAATAATTAATCAAAATAGTTCAGGATTAAGTATGTTCATTTCTGATTCAACACAGGCAATTTTAATGCGAAGTACTCCTTCAACATCATTAGCCTATTATAAAACAGATGAATATGAGAAAAAGCTCTCGGATTTAAATAAACCATTAGAAACTGAACCAAATAATGCATGGACATTAAGAAAACGTGGAGATACTTATCGATTAATGGGCAGATATGAAGAATCACTTGCAGACTTAAATAAATCATTGGAAATTGAACCAAATAATGCATGGACATTAAGAAAGCGTGGAGATACTTATCGTTTAATGTGCAGATATGAAGAATCACTTGCGGACTTAAATAAATCATTGGAAATTGAACCAAATAATGCATTTGCATTAAGTAGTCGAGGAAATACTTATCGCGAGATGAGGAGATATGAAGAATCACTTGCAGATTTAAATAAATCATTAGAAATTGAACCAAATGATGCATTTGCATTAAGCAGTCGTGGAGCTGCTTATTTTGATATAAGCAGATATGAAGAATCACTTGTAGATTTTAATAAAGCATTAGAGATTGAACCAAATAATGCATGGACATTAAGTATTCGTGGTTTTGCTTATCGAATGATGAATAGATACGAAGAATCACTTGTAGATTTAAATATATCATTAGAAATTGAGTCTAATAATGTAATTGCATTAATAAATCGTGGAGAAACTTATCGCATGATGAATAGGTATGAAGAATCACTTGCAGATTTTAATAAGGCATTAGAGATTGATCCAAATAATGCCAGCGCATTGGAATTTCGTAAAAAAATCAAGTCTTTTAAGGCTAAAAAACTTGTAAATTTTATTAGTAGATTCATTAAAGTGTAAATTCTTAATAAGTGAACTGACTTTACGTATATTGTAATTAAACTAATATTACAGATAGAGAAAAACTTGTATAAAAATTCGGAATTACGTTTACATATTTAAGGTTTAGAAAATTTCTGTGTAATTATGAAAAATTTATCTTTTAGTTCAGAATATGTAGTTTGAATATATATACTGTATAATATTTGGTTTTTATAACTAATGGTAATAGTTGCTGCCAGTTATTTCAAGTAAAAATTTTTATAACACATAATCGAATTGTTAAAATTTTGTTAGGAAATTCACGCATTAAGTTTAGAGATAAACCAATATCCGGTTGATCTGTGATTGAATATCGATTTCATGTCTGCGTCGGGAAGCTAAACTGTGCATGTATTGCGCTGCCTTTCAGCTCATAATAATAAGGACTTATGAAAGTCCATTAACGAAATAGACAAGTAATTTATTTTTAAATTTTCAATATATCAGAGCTTTATTATGTGTGGAATTATCCGAAATTGTTCATAGAGTACTGTAATATTAAAAGCTATCATAATAGAAGTTTTTTTTTTTTTTTTTTTTTGATTCATCATATCTTTTGTCAATTAATAAAGGCGCAGTCATCCCCGAAATTTGTATTTTCGTCAAATTAGATCTAGATTGATCAAAATTCGTGATATGATTGGCCATTCAATATTTGATCGATCATTGTTACACGGTCATCAAACAAGTTAGAGTACGAATTTCCTATAAAATTACGAGTGGCTTTTTTTTTAAAAAAATCTAATTTATAAATTATAAATTCTTTTTGTCTTTAAGGATAATGATTTTTAATAAATTGTTAGTGTTACCAAGATCTCCTAATACACTTAAATCATTATGTGGATATTGTAATTCATTTAGAGTTAGAACTAACAATTTAATCGTAATAACGAAGAATTCATCATTAAAAATAAAACCTAAACAACAAATCATAAATAGATATTTTTCTTCAAAACCATTATTATTTTCAAGTGAACCTTTAAATCAAAATATATTAATTCAAAAAAAAAAAATACCACGTGGAAAAGAAAAAAGTTCTAATGCTGATACGTTAAGTCCTCAAACAAAAAAAGTTCTTAAAAGTTTAGGTATTTTAAGTGCGGGATTTGGTGTAATATTTACTATTTACTTGGGTAATTAAATCAATTAAATTGTATTATTATTATTAGTATTATTATTTTTTTTAAAGATAAATAGCATTTATAATTGATTATTAAATAATTTTTATAGGAAGACCATTTACAAATGACCGAGAAGATCAGGTTTAATTTTGCGTAATAATTTTTGTAATCAAAGATAATTCACATAATTTATTAATAAATGATCTCGTATTATAATTTAGTACAAAGATTTAAATGCTTTTAAAGCATGGCATATGCGATTGCAGGCACGTACAAATGATATTACGCATGTAAGTTTAGATCAAATTTTTGAAAAAAAAATTTTTTTTTTTGATAATATTCATAATTAGATTTGATTTTTTTCATTTATACAATCCCTAGTTTTTTACGGAACCTTCATCAGATAAATTATTACCAGATAGAGATACAATACCAAGTCTTCCTCCATTAACGCTAGTGATCAATCTTGACCAAACTCTTATTTATTCTACTTGGGATGTAAGTTTAGAATTGTACAAAAATATCTTTATGACATCATTATATAGGTAATGTTGATCTAATTGGTTATTACCAATTTAGAGAAAACATGGATGGAGAACAGCAAAACGACCGGGTGTTGATTATTTTTTATACGCTGCTTCAAATCTTTTTGAAGTAGTCATATTTACTTCCCAGCCTTCTTATGTAAGATGATTTGTTTTTTTTCTTGTATGTTATTATATAGGCTTTATAACATTGATGAAAATACATGTAAATTATATTTGTGATTCCAAATTTTTGTTTTATTACAGGTTGCTGAACAAATACTCGCAAAGCTCGATCCACTTGGCATGGTTCCATTTAGACTTTTCAGAGAATCAACACGATATGTAGAAGGAAAGGTTATAAAGGTTTGTTTTTTATTTTTATTTTTATTTTTTTTTAATATCGATTGTTTCGATTGTTGTTTTAATTAGTATTATATATTTAAGAAACTTAACGTATGATTAATGTAGGATATTTCCAAATTAAATCGAGATCTATCTAAAGTAATAGTTATGGATTCTAATCCTGATGCTTATTCTTTGCAACCTGAAAATGTGATCACTGTTCCTCCATGGACAGGGGATCCTAATGATACTTATCTAGTTGATATCATTCCATTTCTCGAAGGTAAGTTTTGCATTATTTTAAACTTATGTTTTTTCTTTGTTCACAATTAAACGGTAGTTTTTTTGGGATTGCAGGTATTTCTTTATTGTTATCTGAGGTTCAAGACATTCGTCCAGTAGTAAAGGAATTTCAAGGAAAGAACGTTACAAAATTTTATCCGGAATGGGAAGAACAATGGAAAACAAAGCATCAACTAGAATGGGAAAAAGCTAAACCAAAAAAAGAAGGTTTGGCAAGATTTGTTTCAATGATTGGTGGTAGTCAAGTGGTATGTCCTTTTTTTTTTCCTCTGAATTTGACTTTGTTTAACGATTTTTTTTGCATGATGGATTGTCCTGATAATATCCTTATTAAGATGATGTTATATGATTTTGTTAATAGCATGAACAAGTAATGCCTCAATATCAACAAGCATTAATTCACCGTCAGATGGTTCATAGTGAATTACTAGAACATTATAAATCTATAAAGGATAGAGGTCCGGAATTACAACGTGCGATAGATGATTACGAGAAAAAAATTCAAGAAAGCATGAAAGAACAAAAAATTACGCACTGGCAGTTATTAACTAAGGTAGATGGATGAATTTCAGTTACTATAATTAGTTAAGTTTAGTAACTTTGTATTTCTAATTTTAAATCAAATTTCAATTTCAGGGACCACCACAAATTCCGTTTCCACAACCTGATCAACCACTACCACCTCAATCACAATAATTATCATTTTAGAGGGGGAAACAACATAATATGGATTAAAGTGTTCCATAAAGTTAATAAAGCAAGAAAATGATCATAAATTATTTTGTCTTTGTTCCTTATTAGCTTTTATTCGTTTTTTTTTCATTTTTCATTCATGTGGTATTCAAGGGACTCATACGTTATAAGTTTAATGGATAACGAATTTAAATTAGATCAGAAGTTTTAAGTGGCATTAATAATTAATATAGGTTGTAAAAATATCAACAAAAAAAAAAAAAAACAATAAATAAATGGTAAGCTTTACGGTGTTAGGAATTGTACCAGGAACGCTAAGCAACGGGTTTTTCTAAAACCACCCCACGTTGGATCGTATTCTAAAAAAAAAAAATTCTATTACAAATTTAAGTGAAAGGTGATCTTTACATTAGATTTTTTATTTTTTTATTAAATTCAGGAATACTAAATTCACAAGCTTTTAGCAATTGTGTATTAAATACGTTGGTTCGTTCCCGTTATATTAATATTAGTGATTTGTTCTGTTAATTAAAGATGTATGTTTTTTCTTTAAAATTTATAGTAGAATTAAAGTGAAAAGGAATAGAAGAGTTAGATTTTAATGAATGTTTAATATGTTGAATAATAACTTGATTAAAAAAATCCTCCTATTTGTCAGATTTCATGGCTTTATAGTTAAAGATTCTTCGATTTGTATAAGTTTTGTGCCTGTATTGGCTATGCAGGGCCCCTGTGTTTATATCGAATTTCTCATTTGTAAGTATTTTCCTAGACGTTATTTTATATTTTGCGCTATTATGAGTTAATATAGTTTATGACGTATTAATACATTAATTTTTTACATATGTCTTTTATGGATATTTATCATATAATCTAAAGAACTTTCTAGGCAGTATATATCAGATCAACCATTACAAAAATTCTTATAGTCTCATTTATACGTGTTGTAATATGTTAGTTAATCTATTTCATCTGGCAGGTTCCTATGACAAAACACTGATCTAATTACGACTGAGGAGAAACTTTTTGTTATGATCCTCGTTACCAAGTTTAGTTTCAGACCGTAATAATTAGGAAATTAAAATATTTATGAAGAGCAATTTATTATCTTTATGCGTATAATGAATTCACTAAAAATGACGAAAATGATGATAATATTAATAATATTAAGCATTTTCGTGTAATAATGTACATTTTTCAATTCCTAATTCTGATATTTGACATGCTTTTTGTGAGTGATTAATACTTGAATTATCGCTTTAAATGTTAAAAAGCTTTGAACGTGAAACAAAAGTTGTCTTTAAGTATATGTCCATGGACGTGTCCAGGAACAACATGTCTAAGATAAAGATTCGTTCAAAAATTCTAGTTTCATTTATGTGGTTCCCCTTACTAATAAATTTAAATTTTGGAATGCACGTCCAGTAAATAAAAGCAACGCGTATTTATATATTGACTGACTTGAAATGGTCATCATCTCGCCCTTCAATAGAAACGATCGCATGTTATTGTTTGTCGCGTTCTAATGTTTTTTTGACATCTTTTCCTATTTAACTGGATATAGGATATTCGTTTTTTCTGTCTCTTCAAATTAAATTTAATATACTGTACTATAGTTGTTAAACGAACCCTCGAGGTTTCGCGTTGACGAAACGCGAAACCTAGTTTCGTCTTTCGTCAATTAAAATTTTAAATGACGAAACTGACGAAACTGTAAAGGGTGACAAAACTAATAAAAGACGAATATACAAATAAATGTTGAAAATCATTGAAGATAATGTGTATAAAAAAAATTAAATTTATAAAAATTTTATTGTATAATAGGCACTTGAATTGTTTAAAGGGAGTTAGAAATGAGTATTCAATATTATGTTATGCATATCAGTTTTAGTGTGGTCTTGCTTTGTGATCTTACAAATTTATTTTGTGCTAGTATGGTTTAATTCATTATTTGTGTTATTCCATGAGTACTATGGCTTTTTGACAAGGTTATTTCAACTGATCTATAACAACTCTAGCATTGTCCAAAACGAGCTGGTTGATTTTTGCTGGCATACATGTAATTTCGGATATTGATCTCTGTGAACGTTAATTCACTGAAAATAACATTTGTTTTCTTTTTATGCTTTTTTTTTTTTTTAACGGGAGCGTTAGAGTATCGTCTTTTTGAATGTAAGGTTTCGTCATTTAAATTTAAGGTTTCGTCTTTTGTCAGAGTCAGAAGAATTTGGGGTTCGACTTTCGTCAGAAGTTTTGTCTTTCGTCATCAAGCGAAAAAGGTTTCGTAACAATTATATGCAGTATTTCGTTAATATTTGATCAATAAACTGGACTATTATTCTGATATTGAATAATTAACTTTCTGAAATATATATCATTAATGATAATTTGTCGATATTAACCTAAAATTTTTACATAGGGTGATCATTGGTCGGTATTACTGCAAAAAAAATTTATTATCAATATAGTTTTTTTTTAGAGGTGATTAATGCTACAATATCACTAGCTTTTGTTAATTGTTAATAGGTGAATACATATTAATTATACCTATGGGAAAAAATGAATAATAAGATAAATTAATATTCATGTATTGTGTTATTACTCTTTTAAGAACGACCTAAATATATTTCTATAATAACAAGCTTTATAACAATGCCAAAATTGATAAATATTTAAAATTAAATATATGAGATACATTAAAACTGGTACTGTAATCAGAATAATAAAATTTTCAAATAAATACTACACAGAAAAATTTAAATTTTATGTTTCTAGTTTTTTTTTTTTTAATATCTTATCACTGCTTTTTTTTTGTTCTGATAATTTGGAATCATTATTAGCAAATTATTAATTAAATGTGAGGGACCAACATGAGGTTAATTAGTATTTTTTATGATTACTAATCGTTGGCGGACTTTAAATACTAATTGACCTCACGTTGGAACCAACCTCATGTTGGTCTCTCACATTTCTTGATCGATATTACAGTGAGTTTAAATTTTAAATTCATTCGTTGTGAAGACTAGATTTCCAAAAATAAAGTAGATCAAACCGTTGTAAATTTTTCCTCTTCCGTGATCATGATCATAATAAATCTAACTTGAATAAAAAAAAAAAACAAATAAGAACTACTAGAAAAATAACATTGTATATTTTGACAATTCAGATTCCGCTCACGTCTAAAGTATGTCATTATAAAGTTTCAGAAACATTTCATCTGCGTAACTGGAAACTGAATAACCTATAAAAAGGCAGATCATGAAATTTTGATTGATGAGTTAGATGTTCTTGTTTTTGGGTATGTAACACGTGTAAATAGCATAACTAATCTTTTATCACATATATTATTCATACAATAAACCAAGCCATATCCTGTTGGTACTATTGGTAAGAACTTTTTCGTCAGCCAAAGTTATTAAAAAATGAACTGTACTGAGATTATTTGATCTCAATGACGATGATGTAAAAAAAATCAAATAGCATTATTGGCCTAGTTCTTTTAAATCAATCCATAAAAAGTTTCGAGATATTGGGCTACCTCTTGGTCTAGCAATAGTAATAGTAGATTTTGTTAAGATACTCAACATTTATGTTGTAATGAATGTGATCCCCATTGCATTGCATCATACAACAGAAAACAAGAAAAACAGCAAAATTCCAGCGAACAATAACCAGAAAGATATATCTTTGAAAATTAAAACAAAAAAAAAAAAACAGAAAAATTTCATATTCACAGATGGAATCAACATGTATTAACTAAAATATGCACTTGTAAATTTAGAATTGTATAACATCAATAGAGGTGACAGAAAACGGATATATTGTCATAAATCATGAATGATTTCCATCTATCAAGAGAAAAATTTCAACTCTACATAATCATAACCAATTCAGTTTTTATGGAAAAAGACAAGCTGGATAAAATCAGACACGCATTATGAATTATTAGAACGTAATCCCATTTTATTTATCTACTGATAAAGATTATTTGAACTGCTAGTTCCAAGACTAATTTGACGATCACATGTAAATGAAATGTTTAGATTTATATCATATTAAAGTTCAGGACCACTTTATTTTTTATATATTAAACTGATAAAACTCGGTTTTTAACATATAAAAAATAAAACTGATTCCAGACTCTAATTTGAAATAGATATATGTGTTTGGTTCATTAATCATTTACGTTTTATTCAAATAATACAGCAACTATTCTCATCCTATACTTTCCCAAAGATGAAATTTCTTTTTGGTTTGAAAGCCAATAATTGTGAAATAACGACACCCTCTATAGCAATAGCACGTATCTGAGGGTTTAATGAAGTTGCAGAATATATCAAGAAAAAGACAGACTTAGAGACGAAATAATTAAAAAAATATTCTAAAAATGAATATAGTATCACCATCTATAGTGAGTATAAATAAAGCAACTTTATTTCGCAAATTCTGAAATTATCTATAAAGTTGTATCGATAGTAATTAATATAATATTATTGCATTTAAAGTGAACAATAAGTTATTATTATATACTTGCCCGGTAAATTAGATTCTCATGATCGCAAAAACTTTTAGAAATTTCAGAGGAACTTGTATCTTTTGGTGGTATAGTAAAGTTTATTCTCAAAATAAAATATATGGAATTTATAGCAAAAGATCAATCGATTAAATAATCAAGAAAAAGATGATGAATATGACCTTGTTTGTGATTCCACTTGGGCTCACAAAAGGCTGTCTTCACAAAACTACTATCTTTTTGTTAGAAAGTTTCAGCAACTATTATAACATTAAGAAGAAAGAATTAGGTAAATTAGACTGAAATCATCCAGAAGTCATATTAGATACGACCCTCTAATTACACATATAACCAGTATCAAACGACATCTTCATCCTCACCCTCATATCTTCATCAAACGGTTTACATCTTTTCACTAAAAACAATTATATCCGTGACCGAGACAAAAACTATAATATTGACCAAGATATCACTCAGAGTACCACACAGG